CGTAGCTCAAGGTGCTTACCCAAACCTATCCAATTGAAATCAATACCACGACAGGACGGGCGTGCGTTATGTGGACAACGACATCAGTTTTTGCTTTGTTTCTGCCCGATTTGTGGCGCCATGCCTCTACGTCCAAGTACATGTATATCTTCTGGGATACGCTTCAGCAGGAACGGTCAGTACATGCAGGCCTAGTGCACACGCCGTCCACTTGAGAGCGTCGTTGCGTCTCCACGACCAAACGTCCGTGCCCTGCATGATCCGTGCGTCCATTTTAAGAACTCGCTCAGACTGAGGTGACAGACATGTTCAGCTGGACGGTATACCTTGTGACGTGACACGCAGTAAAACGTGCACATCAGGATAAAGGGAAGTTAGTCGGAGATCCTGGCCGCTACTTATCTCGACAGGCATCGCACTGAGCTGAAACATGACGCAACGATAGCATCCAGAACAATTGATCATTAAAAAGAAATTTCCCGATTGATTTGATGCCGTATCCAGTGAACGCCTCTAGAATGATTGGCCTTTCGCTCGGTCTTGGTTTCGTAAGTCGTTTTTCAGGTCAACGTTCGGGTCGCTAACTTTGTACCTCGATGCATTTTTTTTTAACAAACAAGAAATTTTGTTTGTGTATTATTTCGACGCACATTGTACACGTCAATGACGTCGGTCAATCAAAGGCAAACGTGTTTCTCTTAGTTCAGTGTTACTTTATTTCCTGTCCTTGTGGAGGCAGTCGGCAAAATTTTAGGTTTGCAGAATCACATTGGGCTTTCTGGGAAGCTGGAAAAAATCAATAGAGAAAACTCTTGACTTGTCAAAGTTTATACGTCCATCGTATTTGATGTTTGGGACGCACTGACTGACCCAGAATAAAGTAATCATGGCACCAAATCCATATTTTGCACGTTCTTCAGCTTTCACCTGGTTCGGTCTGTTTGAGCTCAGCTGTAGACGACAATTATCGAAGATTGTCCTTGACCGCCCGCGGCTCTTAGATCGGTAACATCAAAGTCTCTTTCTTAAACAGCTCGTACGGCGGAGGCCTAATCAACAGAAAAATAGAACTAACAAGGGTTTTAATGAAAAGCTTCAACTTTGTATATGTTGTTACATTTTGATGGGCGCGTTCAGTGCTTTAGTTACCCTTTCTATAGCTGTCGTCATAGTCAAACTTAAATATATCTGTATCACTTTTGACCGTTGATTTATGTACATTGTGTTTGTCATGACGGAGTACACGGGTTACGCTGTGGTTCGTTGCAATACTGCAGTACTACTTAGTACTTACCATAATGATTGACTTACATCTCATGTTAGATGCCGCCGAAACGTTCACAGCTACACGCAGTTGGCCAATCTAAGCCACGACTAAGCTCTACTAGGCACAGCAACGGTCCAGCTTGGACTGTCGTCATCAGACGTCTTGTCTCCTGCTTAAGAGTATGTAGGCCTTGAGGAGGCATCGTGCGGTCATTTACAAGGATTGGCCGTGGGCATTGGTGCGTTGGAGCGTAGCGTTTGTGTGTTGTCCCTTTCTCTTGTACATGAAGGTGTATGTTGTATTCTATCTTCGGCGAGACCAATCCAGCTGTCCTGGCGTTGTGGAAGTGGTTCCTGGCTCGGACATTTCAAATTTTTGGGGGAGGACACAGATCACGACCGGAATGTGTGATCCTTGAATCGCTGTTTTTTCAGGTCTTCGTCACCTTTCGAAAGGTGGTCTGAAGGTCGCAGAACGGTTTATTCTGTCAGATTCTTCCTTCCAACATGACTGATTTCTTCTTTAATGACATCCTGGCACGATAAGCTTTATCATAAAGCTGAGGGCGTCCCGGCCCACGCCCCCCGGGTATATTACTATCATGGGCTCATTAGGTTACGTATTCGGTCACCACATTCCATCATAATTATACCTGCGTTGCCGTCGCCTGTTGTTTCATTTTAATTGACCAGACATTTTTTGATGGCATTGTCATTATAACCCATTCATCAAACTGACAGTGTACATGTATATTCACCTTGATTGTGCTGATGACTACACTACAGTTCTCACTTTTCGTTTTCAAGTAACGGGTGACGCAGTTGCGTCCATTAAAATGCAGTGCTACCACGTACAGATGCACATTTATGTACCTTACCGAGGAGTCAAGTGTGTTGGCAAGGTTCGTTGCTGCCTGGAACGCGAAAGATTCGTAAGATTCAGATTAAATTCTCATGTACTGCATATCAATGTTATACGGTGCGTTAGTCTTTTGATCTGGAGTCTTTCCCGTTATTCTCACCCGTCACCGTCAACCTTGTTTCGGGACCCGTTTGATACCAGTGGTGCTTCTCTTGTTCGCCGGTCACGTCACCATATGTTCATTCTAAGATTAATGTAAAGCAAAGGGATTATCTCTTTCAATTGACTGACTTCGTGCAAGTCAAATAGTCGTTCGTGTTTCGAGAGCTGTGTATGAGTTTTCCAAAAAGAGTCTGCGTGTACCTTCCTATGTTCCTTATTAATGATGTGTGTTTGTTGCCAAAGCACACTAATTTGGAGTTGTCATTCTGCCTTTGTCTTATACAGACAGTGTTGTATTTGTAATGAAGCTGCCTTTCTCTTCTCAACCATTGAGGCTCGGGCGTGTTGTTTTGGCCGCCGTTTTTTCAGCTACATGTTGTCGTGCTGGTGTTGAAATGTCAGCGAAACTGCGTTTCTCTATCCTAAATTTTACATGACTGATTTTCAATATGGGAATGTGCACAAATTCCATGTTTCAGTTACCCATATCCTCGATGGTTCACATGACTCGAAAAGACAGCGACTTGTAACCCGAGAAACACGGAGGCGATTTCTGTAGGCCTATATGGTTCGGCAGAAATGGAAACCTGGCTTCTAAACCACAACACAGCGGGTGGCAAATCAGACGAGAAGGGGCAAACTGGATTTTCTCGTACAGAAGTTCTTTAAAAATTTGGTAACTATCCCAACCAACTTCTGGTATTTGGTCCTCACCAAAAGTTTAGTTTGTGATGTGAAACTGTGCTGTATGCCCATCTTGCGATCAGCATTATTAGATAATCATCTTTTCTATAAAGTCAGAAAATTTTTGGAAACAATCGCAGTATAAACCAACATAATGGGAATTATTCACATGTACAGTACAGTAGATATAGGTTTACCATTGCATGAAAAATGGCGTATTGTCTCGTGTGGGATCTCGTGTTTTCTTTGTCTGACTTTTCGGGGTGAAACGTACTAATTAATCAATTTTCCTTTGTGCTGGCATATCGGGTAATTAGATTGGGGGTTATTGTGTGGGTAACCCATGGTTTGCTCAGGATTACGCGTCATGCACTGATACTATAGCGTTTCCAGGGAACACTCTTGGGCATTGACCAAAGCTTCTGTGTGCACACTGCATCTCATTGTGTACACAAGGCACTCCATGCTTGCCCGTCACCCGCACGGTGGGGTCCAGGGGTTGAGCCCGGCACAGGGCTCGTGGAATCCCCACAGGTATACCCTCGGCCACGCCGTTCAACCCCGGACAGGTGCTCGGCCTCCAGTCCTTGTGTCACGGCCGGCGGACGTGTTGCGACGGTGTACGTCTCTGTCATATCGGTGTATATGGTCTCTGTCATCTTTCCACAACCCGAGCTGCCCCACTCGCTCATGGCCGTGACGGCGTGTACACGGGGTACCCTGCACGCATCGGTGCATGTTCCCGGTCAGTCAATCACGAAAGAGAGAGAGAGAGCCTCCGCGTCTAGCCCATAGCCGAGACCCTAGATACGCCACTTAAATATTTGATTTTTAAGGTGTGTTTTGTCTTCGTTTGGTGCAGGGGATGCCATGATCGCGGGTATTCGTGGTTGTTATCAATCATTACTCAGAAAGGACAAAAAATGGAATGTGAGACGGAGGGAATGGCTCAGCGTGACTGTGTTACGATGGCATTCAGAGGCAGCTGCCGTGTGTAACGTGAATGAATGTCCTGCCATCGCGTGCTTCCCGCCGTACCAGCATCATAGACGTTAACCCAATCCCTCTGCCGCGGTACACATTTTCCTGGGCGCTTTTAAATCACTCTAAATGCAAATATGAAATATGGTTTTCGCTTGTAAAGAATGCCGTAATTGTCACGGTTGACTCACTGCAGGTCATTACCATAAAACATTTTTTTCGTTCAGTGGCATGGTCAAAGTCGGCGCGAGTGGACCTCATGTTCTTGTGTGCGAAACGAGGCCCCTTGGAGACGCGCGCCAGCCACAATAAGTGCACGTGTTGAGGATTTTGTTCACGGCTGTCTGCACAAATAAAACACCGACACACTGATTTGGGTTTTCAACCCTACCGTGGCTATTGAAACCCATAAAAACGAGGCTTAATTTTCGTCCTTCGGAATAATCCTTTCTGAAGGAGGTTGCTGTAGAGACATGACAGACGTTTCACATCCGTCTGTCTGTCCCCTTTCTTCCCCCAATGATTCCTCTCATATTGCTTTACACTGATTGTATGACCAGCCAAAAATACCACCCTTGTTGTTTTTGTTTTTCCTAGTGGCTGCTATAAGTATGGCAGAACGTCATTACAATCGTAAACGAATAATTTATAACTGTTAATTAAGAATCCCACGCAGTTATTAAAACACCAGAGAATAATAGGTGTACTATAAGGACTGAAAATGCAACCTTTTAAAAGTAATAATTCAAATGTGTTTTTTGAACGAATTTGAGGTTAGATCGAAAAACAATCAAAGGGTGATTTTTCCCGCAAACTTTGGTCTCTCGTACAAATTGTAGGCAAAAAGAGAGTGGTCTGCATACACCCATTTACTTTAAAATGAGCCCCATTTTGATTTACTATTTAGCAGTTGCATTTATTATTCGGTATTTTGAAAGTTACGTACATTTTTTATCATACTATTGCAGGGCAGAAAGAGAGAGAGGTCGATGCCTAACTGTCTGACCATTAAAAGTGCCGTCTCTGTTTTTGTATTTTGCTACAGTGTATTCGGCTTGCTGTCTTGAACGGACGACTTCGTGCGAGAAACGTTTGTTCCGCATTGCTTCGTATAATTACAAGCGAGACCCATCGTCATCCTTGAACCTCGTTGGCGCAACCGACATAGCTACACAGACATCACACAGATCGATCAAAATAGAACAGGACTGCGAACAATGAACTCAAGTTCGGAAGTCGCCAGCTAGAGTAATAGTAAAGAAGTTTGCTGTTGCTTCCTGATTTTGCGCATTGATATTCCGGAACTGTGAGCCTAAAGACGGGTTCTTATACTTGCGTACACACGTCCAGAGAGCTGGAAACTGTTTTTTTTTTTTTTTTTTGAAATTTACTCTTGGTACAGGGGTGAATTGAATCCCCATGGTCATGGATGAAGCGATACCTGTGGGATCGCTGTGAAGCCAGGACTGCTGAGCGAGCCTCGTCCCCTGGGTGATGGAAGGCAGGACTGGTCTGCCCGTGTCCGGCGCTCCTCCCTTCCCCGCCCCTGTACCGCCGCCGCACGGCACCGTCCCGGCTCCCGCCGTCAGCTCCGACACCGTGCTGAGCCCCGTCTTTGCCGACCTGCCGGGCGGACCCAACGGAGCCGCCCGCACGTCCACGGCCGTGGCCTCCTCCATAGCGAGTCCCGGGCATGCTAATTACCAAGGCAAGCTCTTCTCCTCCGCAGTGGCTGCATTAGGCGGAGGTACGTACAGTTTACTTTGGGCCTTCGTTGAATGCATCTTGACTTTAGTAAACAGGCTGAGCGTTACACAACGGCATTCTGTCATTATCACTATCAGTGTCGTGGCAGAATATCTGCTTGTGTGTAATTACACCGCCAGCCTACCCTTAGTGCATCCCGTAAATTATGTTTTATGTAAAGCGAAGGGTTAATATTCGCAGTCCCATTGTGTGGGAATGATTCTCGTCCAAGAAATGCAACAAATGTAAACAGATCCTGTGGTGCGTTCGAAATACCCGAAAATGCGACCGTTTCTCCAGTTGGTCCTCAAAAAAAGTTGGAGGCAAATAGCACTCCGTGTGATTTCACTTCTATAAATAACAGGCGCATAGTACTTGACAACAGTGCCTCGCATTGTTCGCCAAACGAGGCCGAGGGCCGCAGTCTCTGTGCGTTGTGCCGGTACTGTGGGACCAGACGGACAATTTATTCCCCGCCGTAAACAGACATGGTACGGCCTGGAGTCTTCTCGCCGGCAGACCTGAATATACAGAAACCAGTTTCCATGCATCCATTTATGTCGTGTCATACAAGCGTTTCGTTCGGCTGAGTTTTACACACCCCAGCACTGCTCTATTTATTGAATATCGCATACTTGTATTAAATATTAAAGCAAATGAATATATTGTGACCTTCAGTTGGAAAATGTTCAACATTATTTCCACTTCTGCAGTAGTGGTTAAAAGTGATGAAGATCATAATTTTTTAAAACGTGCTAGAGTTATTCGTAATATTTTAAGAACCATTTCGCCTGCATTACATTAAACCTGTTGCGAAATGTTGAAAATGTAGGGGTGTTGCTATGGAGAGGAACAATTTTGCTCACAGGCATTCAAAGAGGTTAATTTTATAAAGAAATTTCCTTGGCGTGAACCAATAATCCTCTTCAAGGGCAGTGCCTTGTACATGAATTCAGTGATATCTTAACCCCGACGATGATGAGTCTTGATTTATTTTAACCACTTCCCTGTGGTTTTAATTGGTTAGGACGGACCACACCAAGAAATGAAACCCGGAAAAAAAATCGTATGAGTGGACTTGGAACACACTACATGTATTTTAATTGCTCATTATTGCGAAGAGTTGGGAAACGTGATTTCATTCTTTCAATAACGAACGAGAGTATCTCTGGTTTCCCACTCGCAACATTGTTGCTTGCATTAATTTTAGTAAACCTTTCTAACTCTGTGCTATTAATCAAAACACGTAAAGAATAGGGCGCTTCTCATCCGTTGTACGTGAGGTGGAACATCACGAAAATGAAATCTGTAAAGCTTCTTGTCGTCATGTCGGTGGTCTTTTCCGTAAGATCTTTTCGAACGTGTAGGCGGGAATGGAGAAATAGAATCATGAAAAAGAATCCCAAGGGACGTTTCAGTTTTTTGCAAAGAATATTTATATTTCTTGATATTTTTCCCTCGAAATTCTGCCCAGGTTGTCATCAACATTCTCTGGTTACAGAGTGGCTGTTGTCATAGTGTAATTGTGAAAACACACTCCCGAAATGTGTCTGAAGTTCTCAAAATACGTTCAAAGAATATTATAAGGCATGCTTAAAAGGCTCTGTGTTTTGTTTAAAAATGGTAATTTGACAGACGTGCATATAAACAGGATATTAAGGTCTTCTGCTAAATAGTCGTCTGCACAGAGTGTTTTGTTCAACGGTTGCGCTACTTTGGCGGTGTCACGTGACTTGTTCCGATCGTTATTTAACTTAATTGTCTGTGCAATATTTAAATATATTTCTTCACCGTGTAGAGACTGAAACAAGTCGCATCATAATTTTCACATCTAGTAGTAAGTTAAACTACACGTATTGATTTAAATCAATTTACCACATACGCCCCGCTGAGCAGTGTTCCTTCGAATGAACTTTAAGTAATTATTGGAGCCGTAGACTTCGATATGGAAAAGAATTTTTTTCAGCAGTAGGTCGGCCAAGAAGTTATTTTTACAGTTCGCTTATCAGAAATATTTCTACATTGATTTCTGCATATTTACATTATGCACAGATATCTGGCAAGAACGTTTGACACTCATTCAGGTGCATTTTCTGTAGATTTATTTTTTGTGGCTATAGTTGGACTTCATTTTGTTGTCCAGAACACAACCAGTGAATTATGTTGATACTCCTGCGCTGAAATGTGCAGCAGCAACGCCACAACTGTCTCCGGAGGTAGGCGAGGCAAAAGCGGGGAACATATTTGAAATGCCATCCTTTCATCACGTTCATTGCACAGAGGAGGAATAACAATTGTGGCAATTAGATTAGACGGCCGTGCATGGATCTGCAATATTAATACGGCATTTCGTGCCAGTTATGTTTACCTCTGTATTTTTTCCCCACCACACTATACCTGCCCGCATGCACCGTAGATCTTTGGAGAGGAACCCGCGAAATGGGTGCCATGCCGAGGGTGCACAACATCACTGTGTGCTGCTGCTCTTGTGGCATCGGCACACTTCAAATTTTTGTTTGCTGTGCGAGATAGCTGCATAGCCTTTGTTGTCAGAAGGCCGTGCACAAACAGTACAATGCAGCGTTGACTGTAGATAAGCTCGCTTTAAAGCGCGCCTTCCCTCCTTGGCCCAGTGTATTGTTCGGCATTGGGTGCCAGGTCCATGGACTCTCCATCAAACCACATAACCACACGCAAGCCCCATCGGGGGAAAAAAGCCGGCTTAGAAACTCCGTGTGCTCGGGGGCAGTGGGTCTAGAACGTATTGAGCGATTCGTGTGCGAGGATTATTTCCAACGCGACAGAGCAGAGCTCCACCCTCGCAACTGCACGGACAAAATAGCATGGCTGTTTTATATTAGCAGTTTTCAGGTAATCAAAATAGTGATTGGAGTATAATTTAAGCTTGTATTTTAAGACAGAATGTGACGTGAAGGAGGTGAACTTAATTTACATAAACAAGCGTTTGCTACAGGTGCTGCTTTACCCAGATTTTGCATAATGGTACCCCTTTAACGTACCTTTGGAAAATACATTTTGAGGGAAATATTGATATTCAAAGCACAACTGAAATGTTTGCCTCCTGTATTGTAACGTGTTGAAAGACAGGAATTTTTTTCGCTGGATTTCATCATGGCTTGTATCCTTTCGTAGCCTCTTGTGCAGTGTTCCATCTGACTGTGCGTGTATAGATCATACAGCAAACGTCTTGATTGGTCCGCCTTCATGTCTTCAGAGCTAGACCACAATTTTACACAGCTGTCTACGATATAGCATCAGCGACTTTTCCGTGACGTATTTTGTCTGACTAGCTGTTACTGGTTGTTGCAGAAGTATATGACTTGAAGTTGAATTGTTCGAAGTGTATGCACAGAGTTTTTTTGTTTGTTTTAGCTTTTGAATTGCCTACACTCGGGTTATCTTCGAGAGTCTTGTGACGACCGCTAAAAATGTACCGCGCATTACAAGTTTAATCCCGCGTTTTCGTATCCTCTTCCAGTTTGGTTGTGAAGGCATGTTACTAATTGTCTAGGCGCATGCCCACGGATGGATTAGGCACGTGATGTGACTGCATAATTTATAGAGCAAGTTGGGGTTCAAATGGCTAAATCATTGGACATATCGTGTCAGATGCATAAAAGTATCATGTCTTTGTTGCATGTAGGGCCTACTATACAAAGTGGTGCCGACACCGGTTATATTGGTCGCCCTTATGGTAGGTAAAACACCCGTAAGTTCCTCTCTGTGGACCTGAGCGAGATTTGTACGACGTTACCGAAGAATGGACACGAAAAAAGCTTTTATATTAGGGGTTAAAGTTTCTGGTGGGAAGTGTCAAAATGCGTTACTCTTTGTCGCATGTCGGATTTAATTTGATGTATTTAAAGGACACTTGCTTTCACATTTGTGTTTTCTTCGTATACTCCCATTACCTTTGAAAGGAGATATTTCGTTCAAGAAATTTATGCTTTTATTTAAACATTATGCAAATGAATATAGCCCTATTATAACAACACATTAAAATCGGCTTTTGAAAGGTGAGAGTACGAGTATAGACCTCCCTGTTGCGAATGGTTGTGAAATGCTAATTTTGGTATGATCAAAATGGAAAGTCTGAATGCAGGGCAGCGAGCGGAGCCATGGAGAAACGGAGAAACGGACCCTGCTACTTCTCGTTAGTACCCCGTGCATGCATCGGCGGCATTATAATTATTCATTGATGGTGCATTTATGTTCTTGCATATCGTGTTTGGCGATCTTAGCCCGTTGTCTGGCCGTCCCGAGGGGGCGAGTGCAGCGGGTAGAATTCGCCTTTGCCCCGGGTGGGAAACATGCTCCGCGTCGCCCCACTAGGCCCGCCGCGCCTGGTGTCCGCTTGCGTTTTTGTTTCAGATCGATCGGTGGGGCTCGTCGTGCTTTTGTGCGGCCTGATGAGGCTTGTGTACAAATCAATCCCATCGCTCGGCTGCGGAATGGTTGAATTATTATTCTCAAAAGCTAGCACCAGTCTGCCGTGATGATTCGTAAGTATAATGGAACGATTTTTTCTTGATCGTTATTTCAAACGGGGCTGGAATTATAACATGAATTCGTTACATATCTCGACATATTTGATACACGCATGGCAAATATGTTGGATATTGTTGGAGGGAGCTTATTGGCTCTGATGACCTGTCTTGCGTAACTGAAGTTTTAATTGTGTATCGGGAGAATAGATCCTAAGGTGTTATTTTAGTCAAAATTGGAATTTTGCAGATGCTACTTTAACTTTTTCTAAGTTAATGATATTTTTTTGGTGCTTTTTACATCCTGAACGTCGAATATCTTTTCTAATTTACATTTACAGACCACATTATATTGATAATCGTTTCTGCAAGTCTCGTGACCCAATCTTCTCTTTCTCATCCATTCGAAAGTATTTGGACATTATTTGATTATGTTAATCTACAGAGTACATGTTGTTTTCATTGTGTGATGGGGGTCTTAGAAGATTTCTCTCTC